GATGCCACTCTAAGCCTGAGGTGGGAGGTGACAGCCATGAGACCAGAGTAACAGGTGGCTCCTTCAGAGAGGAGCTTGTCTCCAGGTGCTTGGCAGTCTCTTAGTCAGATGAGTCTCCCTAGGGAGGCCAGTGGAGGGAGACAGGGATGGGGCCTGGCCCCCAGAGAGTGGCTTCTCCTCCCAGTGGGTGTTGACTGCTTCATGCCAGCTTCCAGTCTTGCCTTCAAACAGGCCTGGTTCCCAGGAGCCCAGAAAGACATTTACATTGAGAGAAATACCCAAACAAAACAATTGCCTTGGAAGGCTGCAGGCAATCCGGTTTAGGGGCATGAATCAATCTTGCAATAAGAGCCAAGAAGTCAGAGTAACCACCCCATGCTGTCCTTGTTCCCCAGCCCCTTAGCATTTACCTGTGTAGTGGATACTTTGTGGCTGTTCCTGTATCTATTTCCTGACTCTTTTTTTATACCCGGATCTATAACCCTGTAGAAGCAGCATCTCCACTCCAGGTGAGGGGCCTGGGGGTAGGGCTGTGTCTCCCCCTCAAACTCTCAGGAAAGGGCTGTGTCTCCCTTTGGACTGGGGCTCCCTGAGGGTCTTTACTTTTTGGATGTCTCCAGCAGGATGCTCAGTATGATGTAGGCACTATGCCTGGCTTAATAAATATTTATTGAATTAATGAGTAAATAGTCAAGAGAACCTGACTTTTCCAGTCCATTCACTCCCTTCCCTTACCTACCCAGTGGGGAAGCAGGGCTGAGTAAATCAGTGCTCCATATACCTCCTCAGGGTGGGAAGACCAAGTGTTTCCAAGCTGGTGTTAAAACCAAATTACTTCTGATCTACTGAACTGTCAGCTCGAAGAAGTTAAACAAAACCTCCCCTGTCCTAATATTAGTGTGGAGAAAGGGAGCTTGGGACAGCCAGGTGACCCTCACTTGGGAAATGGTAGCACCAGGTCTCCAACATAGCTCACGAGGCTCTGGAGTCAGTGCACATCTGCTCATTGTGGAAATGAGAATCTGGGGCCCAGAGAGGGAAGATCTCACAAACAGGCAGGGTACAGTCTTGACACAGAGGCCAGAAAGCAGGGAGGGATGCCTGTCTCTTTTGTATCCTCCAGCCTCATCATTCTAGGACTGGTATTTTCAGTAACTCACTGCTAAGTCAGTCAGTGAAAGTCTCTTTGCCTCAGTTTTCACATCTGTAAAATGGAGGTGGCCACACATCTTAACTTACCTCACAGGGACATTTTAAGGACCAAGTAGGATAGTGCGTGTGAAATTCCTTGGAAAGTTCAAATGGGAGGGCACCCCTGGAGCTGGTTGTAAAATAATTTACAACAGAATCCAAATAAATTGGCCTTTCAAAAGTGATCATGGTTCCCAGTCTCACAGTCTGGTGCCTTCAATTTTCATTGGTCAATTTATATGATAAGCATTTATTGAGTACCCACTAAGTGCCAGGCACTGTGCCAGATGCTAGGGATGCTGGGCACCCCTTTCAACCCATTCCTCACACAGAGCCAGAGCAGGCCTGCTAAATTAAAGTCCGATCCTGTCCCTCCTCTGTCCATTGCCCTGCCATAGCTCCCATCTTACTCAGAGTAAAACCCAACATCTTGCAATGAGCCCCAAACCCAAATTACCTGCCCCCTTAACCTCTCTGATCTGAGCTCCTACTACTCTCCCCTCAGCTGTAGCCAAATCCTGCCCACCACTGCAGGGCCTTCTCACTTGCTGTCCCTATCTCGGCAATGCTCTTCCCCGAGAAATGGCACAGTTTGCTCTCTCTAAGGTCATGACTCAAATGTCACTGGGATCTTCTCTGGACACCCTCTCTAACGTTTTAGCCCTCACATTTCCTACTCCTCTTCCTAGATTTAGCATTTTCCTTACTATCTAAATTCTACTTATATACTATATTGTCTGTTTCTTCTCTAGGATGTTACCTCCATGAGAGCAGGAGTTCTTGTCTATTTTGTTCACATTGAATCTGCAGTGCCTAGTGGAGTGCCTGGCACGTAGCAGGAACCCTTTAAATATTTCTTAAATGAATGAATCGTGAACATATGGACAGGGTCCCTGCTCTAAATCCTGCATTCTGCAAGCAGAGAGCCTGCCATGGGTATGGGGTAGCGGTGGGGGCGGAAGTGAAGGGGGCTACAGACCTTGATGGGTGACAGAAGTCTCTATGGCCTCTCCTTTCCAAGTGTGCCTTTGCAGTATTGCAATATTACTAGTCTTAGGCAGCACGATTTATAACAGGAGTTAACTGCTTACTAATTAGCAGCTGGAACCATTAATTGGCTATTTGTTAGAGCCAGAATTAATAAACTGGTCTTTCAGTGGGGTCATAACTCTCCCTGTTCCTCACCCCTCCCAGTCAGCCTTCCCCTACCTGACCAGAAAGTGTCTTGCCCCTAAATTGAATAAATACCTCCCACTGTGTGATTTCAGAGAATTTTCCTTGCAAGGTGATGACACTATTCCCGCAAAGACTCTTCTTTTCTCTCTCCCTCTTTCCTCTTTCAGGCTCTGACTTGCTGGAGGTGAGTGAGTGAGAGGTGGGAGGAGATGTGGGGCGCTTTCTAGTAACACACTCTCATAGCAAAAGCCCAAAGCTGCCCTGCTTGGCCAAGGTCTGGGGCTTCTGGTTCCCCGGCCTGTCACATACCCCTTCAGTCAGCAGCTAGTTACTTGGAGTCGCTGGAGTTCCAAGGGCTGAGCTTTCTCTAGGGCACAATACTGGGTTTTTTCTTAGAACGCCATGGGTGGAACCGAAAAGTTGGCAGTTGAGTGCTGACCTCCAGGCAGCCCAGCTTCAGTCTGATCCTGTGCCCAGTGGCCCACTTCACGGATGCCTCAGGTCCAGCAGCCTAGCCCGCATCTCCCACCCCCTAAAAGCCCAATTTGGGGTCCACAGAATTGTTCTCTATGAAAGAATAGAATAGGAACACTTCCTGTGAAAGCATTTACTAAATCCCTAGGCCCTTACATCTCTTCTGTGGAACAGTGGGAAAGAGCAAGAGCACAGAGCCCACTTCAGCCACTCAGCAGCTGTGTGACTCACTAAATCTTTCTATGTTATTCTATGAGAATAACAGTCCTATCTCACATCGTTGTTATGAGGATTAGTTAGTACACGTGAAGGCTTAGAACAGTGCCTGGCATGTGGTGTCAGCTAGTACTATTATTTCTCACTTCTGTCAACAACCCTGTGAAATAGGGATCCCATTCACTTTACAGCTGGACAAGCTGTAAAGGCCTAGAGAGGTTAGTACTGGAGCTCAGGACTGATGCCTCCCATGCCCAGTGCTCTTCTCCTGGGTTGTCTCCCATTGTCAGACCCAGGGCTCTGTCAGAGGCAGCAAGCAGGGCACACCTAGGGGAGGAGAAGACTGAATTTATGTCACATGCAAGCAGGCTGTCAAGGTGTTTACACTGCATACAATTAGCTGCAGACTATTCACAAGTGGATTAGCTACAGCAAATGTTCTGTCCCAGACGCTTGAATTTGGTCCTCTGTTCCCCCTTCCCCTCCCTCTGTCCCTCCCCATCACAAGTCTTCTCTCTCTTCCAGGCCAGTGTAGGTGTTCAGAGATAGTAAACTCACTGTCTGCTGAGAGTCAGGGGGGTCCCCTGCCAGTAATGAACCCTAAAGCCAAAGAGGAGCAATTAACTGCTATTTGGGGTTGGACTAGCTAACTGAAAAATAGGAAAACAGTTTCCCATGGCATGGATAAGTACTTAGTCAACTCAAAATGGGCAAAGCCAAGGAGGGTGGGAATCACTGTGATCACTCCCTGAGAGCTTCCTGGAGGAGGTAAGTATTTTCAAATAAAGGGAAGAAGATGACAATAAAAGAAGCTACTCACCCTCAACTAGTACTACTTCCTTTTCAGACTGGATGGGGAAGGTGGGTGGGAAGATGCCTGATAGCTTTATATCTCTGTGGGGCAGAAACTGACTTTTCTCTTTGGTTAGGGGCTGGGGGTGGGGTGTAGAAAGGACGGCTGCATTGAGGGTATCCTAGGTCTGTGGTATCTGGCCTATGATGGGAATCATTCATTCATTCATTCATTTAACAGATCTTCAGCTGACATCTGCTGGGTGCTCAGCACTAAGTTGGGTCTTGTTCCCCTTATTCAACCTTGGACCCACAGGAAAGGAAAGAGAAAAAAAGGTTGAAGGGATGAAGGAGGCACAATCAAGTGGAGAAGGGCTGAAGAGTAAGATTCTTCAGACGTTCTTGGACTTTCTGAGATAGAAAGGGAACTGAGGAAGTGTCACCTGATAGAATGCCCCTACTGCCTGGAATTTCTCTGGACACCTCCCACCCCGTCCCCCTCCCGCTATTGGGGGCACGTGTTCCTCTGGGGATCAGTCCCTGGAGGGTCTGGAGAGGAGAGACCCAGCAGGAAATGAGCCTGGGAAAGGGTGGCTTATTATTTTTAAAATTTGTTTTAATTCACATCCTGAAAAATTAAAAAAATTTTTAGTGTGCTTTGAGTTTTGACAAATGCAGAGTCTTGGACCACCGTCACAGCCAAGATGTTAAACAGTTCTGGGGGATGGGGGTAAGAGGGTCTGTAATCTCCCCATTTGTGAGCTGCTGCGGTTTTCCGCGCTCCTACCCGCCGCTCTAACACAATTCTTGCACACACGCCGAGATACAATAACGGCGACAGGTGGAGCAGGTGAGATTAGCAGGACCAGGGTAGGGGGATGCGATCGGAGGTGCGGCGGAGGACGCCCGCCTTGCTTCCTAGCCTTTACCTCTCCCCGCTGGCGTTTGGGAGGAGCGCTCTCCCCACCCCTGCTCCCAGAGGGCCAGAATGAGGTAGCGGAGTCCGGGAGTGCAGGACCCCCGCAGCTAGAGCTAGAGAGGGCCCCTGGCTTGACAGCCGGAAGAGAGGACCCCCTGGGGCGCTTGGGGGCGCCTGAGGTCCTGAGGGCAGACAGGATGGGGAGATGGGCGAGCTGGGAAGAATGAGGGGTGGCCTGGGCGAGCTCTGGCTGCGGGGTCCTGAGGACAAACCTGTTGGCAGTCCATGGGCCGAGGCAAGGGCAGGAGCTCTGATCGCGCCCTCTCCGCCCCCAGCTCAGCCAGCTGCTCCGGCGGTGGCCCCTACACCGGACGCCGGGAGAGGCCGCGGCTGTCTGGAAAGGGGCGGGGCTCGGCCGGGGGCGGAGGGACTCCCGGGCGGCGCAGACAGCCCTGCAGACCGACAGCAGGCGATCGGCTCGCGCTCCTGCAGAACCCTGAGAGCCCCGGGCGCCCCGGCCTTTCCCTTCAGTCCCGCCCCCCAAAAGTGCAAAACATTTACAAAGTGTACAGTGCCCCGCAGGCTAGACTAGAGTCCCTGGGGCGATCGGCTGTGCTAGCCCAGCGAGCTTACTGGGATCGGTGCACCCGGCTCGGGCAGCGGGTCTGGGTGAGCAAGGGCGGGCGAAGAGCGGGTGTGCAAGCGCGCGGCTGCAGAGCCCGCGCCGAAACCCACGTCCCTTCGCCACTGTCCTCGGGATAGATGGATCCATTTCTGCTTCCTGACATTTTCCTGTTTGGGGTAGGGGGTGTTCTGGGGGGCGGAGAGAGGGAGAGAAGGAGGAGGGGGGAGAGAGAGAGAATGAGACAGAGAGAGAGAAAGAGACACACACACACACACACACAGAGGGGGAGAGAGAGAGAGAGAGGAGGAGAGAGAGAGAGAGAGAGAGAGAGAGAGAGAGA